CCATAGTAAAGAGTGATCTGCTCACTTGAGCAAATGAGTGAGTGCTTTCTCTGCATGTTTCGCTGAGGTACTCTATCTGGGTCTTCTTCTTTTTCATTTTTCCTTTCTGGGGATTCTCTTTTTTTTCATGATCTTACGAAAGACCCATCTTTTATGTTGATCTGATTTCCCCTCTCACATTGTTGGCTTTCATAGTTCTTAGTGTCTTTTCCTTTGTTGTGTAACATAAACAAACCGTGGTTGGTGCTAGTGTACTAATTTGGGACACAAGGTCGATCTGGTGCTCCTGTGTTTGATATATGCTGTGCTAAAATAATGTATGACCAGCAAAAGTATGTTCTCGAAATACAAATTAGATATTGCATATATTATGTCTAGAGACAAAAAAAAAGAGTACTTATTTGGATGATCAAGTCAATGCTTTTGTGGGACTCAGAGTTCAGTTGAATGAGTCTAAGTATGGTCTAACTGAGTTTAGTGATATATAATTTTCGAATGGGTGATGGTTTTCAATTTTCAATTTGTGTCTACTCGCATTTGGGTGATATAGTTTGCTAGCATTATTTTCGATTTTGTAAAATTGATTTTTGGTTAAGAGTAAGTTTGAAGTGATTTATGTTTTCAAAATTTTCATCTCAGAATAAGTTTGTATTATTAACTCAATGCAGAGTTTGTGTTTTGGTGAGAATCTCGTTAGACATCACCAAATGTGGATTTAATTGTCTCCCTCCACTGCTAAGCCGAACACAGGATCAGTCTTTGTTAGATGTATAGGGATCTTTTGCTTATGTGATATGATTTTGTTGTTTTGTCTAAAAAGAGCTTATAAAATAAGTGATCTTCGTAAAATTCAGAGATGTGCTGAACAAACAAAAAAATAACTTCTTTCTTTGCTTTTTGAGTTTATCTCTTTCTGTTAATAATAGTCTTTGTTACTCAATGGTGGTCACAGTGGATTTTTGCTTCTAGTGTCCCACTAAGCACTCTACGTGAGTCAAGTCAGAGACTACCCTTAAAGTGCTCACACTTGCTCACTTTGAGCGAGCAAGTCCAGAAACACATGCATGATTAAGAACAAGTTCAACATCTTAAAGAAACTACTCAAATCCTCTCATCCAAAACCCCAAAACATTCATGTAACTCAAATCCCACCACATATTGGCATCATACAACTCATAAATTAAAGAAAATGTAACATGCAACAACAATATACTTTACAAGATCATTAATTCCTTCATTCTTCACCAAGAACACAAAGAACAAAGAGCACCCAAATTTCTACTCTTCAATTTCAACTTAAATGCTTACTAGAGTATGAATCGACATGTTAAAATCAACATATACAACATGAAAGATCAAATAAGTTTCTTTAACCTCAATTGCTCCTGAATCAAGAAAAGGACCGAAGCCTTTCATACAATGACTTCTCTTTAAGATTCTCAATCTCCGACTTCCACACCAACTCACGATTAGGGGAAAAAGGGAGATCTTCCAATGGAATCAGATCGAAGATCGAACTTCATTAGCTCGACAGTACTTCTCTTTACAGTCTTGAGTTATGAACTTATGAAGTTCACTTCTCATAATCCACTTTATACATCTTAATCTTCCCCTGAGCCAACTTACATACTTAATTTATATCCTCTATAACTTAAGTTTAGAGTTATCTTATCTCAAACTTCCACCTCATATAAGTTAAACACA